TATAAACATGATGACTAGTCAGAGCTTGGATGAAACCAATTATATTCTAGAAAAATGTTCTTTTTGCAAGTATCTGAGGCACAAATATGGTGATTTACACTTGCAAGTTAACAAGAGAAAATCTTAAATCTTCATGGCATAGTGGTAATATTTTACTTAATTCTGCAGTTGTGTGGTTGTGGTCTAACTAAATGATGGAAAAGGAATATCTCATGGCTCAACTACTACTTCTGCGGGGTCTTATGCTGCTGCCTCTTGTTCTATTGTGGCTCTTATGCGACAAGAACAGAGATGGAAAAAATATTTGAAAATGGTTGAGAAGCAAGTTTCTTGAGTACTGGGAAACCCAGTCAAGGAGAATCCTGAAGTGAGGGGCGTCTTTACAGTTCTTTCTCCACAAAATCTGCACATTTTTGTGCAGAATCCTGACTTGGTCATGCAACTTTAACATGAATCGCTGCATTTTTACACCCCTATATTTTGGTCAGTACCACATTTTTAAGGGGGTGGGCTCTTGGAAGATTCTGTTCTGACAGATTCCCCATGGAACTTATCTTTCACTCAAGCCTTTAACATGTACTGCCATCCGACAAGAATCCTCATTCCGTGGCTGAGTCATCATCCAAAAATCATTATTAAATACACAATGATGAGCTGTCTTATTTATTTATTTATTTATTTATTTATTTATTTATTTATTTATTTATTTATTTATTTACAGTTTTTATATTCCGCCCTTTTCAACCTGCAGGGGACTCAGGGCGGATTACAATGTACATATACATGGGAAACATTCAATGCCATAGACACACAACATAGAATCATGGAATCATAGAATCATAGAATCAAAGAGTTGGAAGAGACCTCATGGGCCATCCAGTCCAACCCCCTGCCAAGAAGCAGGAATATTGCATTCAAATCACCCCTGACAGATGGCCATCCAGCCTCTGTTTAAAAGCTTCCAAAGAAGGAGCTCCACCACACTCCGGGGCAGAGAGTTCCACTGCTGAACGGCTCTCACAGTCAGGAAGTTCTTCCTCATGTTCAGATGGAATCTTCTCTCTTGTAGTTTGAAGCCATTGTTCCGCGTCCTAGTCTCCAGGGAGCCAGAAAACAAGCTTGCTCCCTCCTCCCTGTGGCTTCCTCTCACATATTTATACATGGCTATCATATCTCCTCTCAGCCTTCTCTTCTTCAGGCTAAACATGCCCAGCTCCTTAAGCCACTCCTCATAGGGCTTGTTCTCCAAACCCTTGATCATTTTAGTCGCCCTCCTCTGGACACATTCCAGCTTGTCAATATCTCTCTTGAATTGTGGTGCCCAGAATTGGACACAATATTCCAGGTGTGGTCTAACCAAAGCAGAATAGAGGGGTAGCATGACTTCCCTAGATCTAGACACTATGCTCCTATTGATGCAGGCCAAAATCCCATTGGCTTCTTTTGCCGCCACATCACATTGTTGGCTCATGTTTAACTTGTTGTCCACGAGGACTCCAAGATATAGACAGAAACACAGAGGCTATTTAACTTTCCAGCTTCATGAGGGTATTCTGGCCACCAGGGAAGCTGTCGCTTCACCATCCACTTGTGACACTGATGGAGTACTTCCTCATTCTTTGCATGCTTGCTGGAAATTTTGTGGCATTGTAAAGTAGTTAAATTAGCCTCCCCGCATAAGCAGTACCTAAATTTCCTACTTGACAGATGCAACTGTCTTTCGAGCTGCAAAGCTACACAAATGGTTGGAAGCTCACTCTGACCTGGGCTGGCTTCGAACTCATGACCTTTCCGTCAGTAGTGATCTTAATGCAGCTGACTCCCAGCCAGCTGCGCCACAGTCCCAGTGCTATACCAATCAGAATTTCAAGGGAAGCCTGTAACTGAGGGGAAATAATAATAAAAACACCACAGAGCAGAATAAAAAAAATAAACCTATAAGACCTCACATCCAAGTTATGGAGGAGCATACAAATGAGATTTATGGCTTGTGAGTCCTGAACCAGGAAGTGTCAGAAAGCAATGGGCTAGATTAAATGTTCACTATCCCTTTTCCCTAAAGAAAAGAAAAATCCCTTAGGTTTCAGATTTGGGCTTGAAACATGAAAAAACAAAATAAATTAAGCCGCGCTCTACTAACCTATGAACAATAGTATAGAAAAGTAGGAAAACAAATTCTGATACTATAGTTGTCCCAAGTGTGCAATGAATCTGAGGGTGTATCTACTTTGTAGATGCACCCTGAGTAAAAGTCATATGCGAGATTAGCACTTCTGTGTTGGAGTTTTTACATAAAGCTAAAGCATGTTTGCTACATAAAAGGCTATTCAGCATGCTATGGGAGCTGGTGAGGCAGGTTTATTTGTTTTCTATTTTTCTCTGTTTTGCTGCTCACACGTGCTCAGTAAGGATTCTGGAAGCAGATGGTGTTTACCTTGTCCAATGTAGAAATGCACACTTATTTGCTGAATTGGCTAAAACTGAATCCCATTTTCTCAGCTCAAGTTTTATTGCATTGTTTACTGTAAACACACTGCTGCAACTCAACACCAAGGATTTTATTGCACGAGGCAGGCGAACTAATATTATAGTGGTTTATATATGGATGATCACCTTTGTTCATCGTCCCTATCATACAACATGATGTGCATCCCACTGTTGGTCTGCCTTCTCCTTATGATACTCTCATCCCTATTAATGGGTAAAAACAGGCAATATCATGCAATCTCTCAGCCTTGGTGCAATGGGTCCATTCTGCTTCTGTGCTGGCCTGTGAACAGTTAATTGATGCCAAGGAAATGGAATTCTCTTCTTCCCTCTTCTCCTTACTATTCTTAACTTGGTGTCAAACCATTACCACAAAGCATTGTTATGCTGAAGTTAATGCATTGTAGTAATGCTGAGTTTTTGATTTTTAGCATTGTCCATAGGAAAGAGGCTTTTTCTAGACATAGGGGTTATTGTTTTTGACTCGTTCACTCGCTTCTGACTCTTCGTGACCTCATGGACCAGCCCATGCCGGAGCTCTCWGTCAGGCYTTGCCACTCCCAGTTCCTTCAAGGTCAAGCCAGTCACTTGACTTGTATTGAAATCCAAAAGTATGTAGACAATTTCAACAGAAAGGAAGAAACCATGAAAATGAACAAAATCTGGCTACCAGTATTTTAAAAAACCCTCTAAAATTATAACGGTAAACAAAGAACAACACTCAAACAAAGGGGAACTCCAGACAAGAAACAATCAGGGACAGCTAATAATCTCTCAACAAAGGATTCCCCCATGCAGTAAAAAACCACACCTAAAAACTGTCAGGTTATCAAATGCTAATCAAAGTGGCTAATTGAAACATTCACACCTAACTCCAACAGACAAGAGTTCTTTCTCCCACCCTGGACATTCCACAGATATATAAAACCAATTTTCCTAGTTTCTAACAGACTTCACAACCTCTGAGGATGCCTGCCATAGATGCAGGTGAAATGTCAGGAGATAATGCTTCTAGAACATGGCCATATGGCCTGAAAAACCTACAACAACCCCAAAGGATCTATGCTAGTGCAACAGTTAAAAAAATCATGGCTACATTAACTGAAGTTGATACTTTCATTTGTCACGTAGGCAGAACACATTCTTGTATTCCAGGCACATCCTAAAAGTCTGTATCATGTATCATGAATTTTGATTGTCCCTTATTGCTGTTTTGAAAACCTGACATGCTACTCTGTGGGGAATGTTAGCAATTTAGGTCAATGTCTTCATCTTACCAAAAATGAGGCAACATTTTGCAAATGTCCACAATGCATACTCTAACACCACACAGATCATTTATTGCCTGACAAATCATGGCATGCACCCTCTATCTTCATCAGATGGAACCAAACTTCTAAAGGACAAAAAATATCCATTGCACTACATTGGAAAGAACATTACCATAACTCCTTAAATGCAATTCCAGCATGGCTAAAGATGTTTTCTCACAAATCCCAGCATAACAAACAGGGGATGAGCTTGCAGCGCTACCTACCTTGGGGGAAGTCAGTAAAGCCATCAACCAACTAAAACAACAATAAAGCCAGTGGACCTGATGGGATCTCTGTTGAGATCTTTAAAGAAGGCAGGCCTGAGATGACACAACAACTCCACAAACTCATTGAAATAGTGTGGGTGACCAAGAGGATCCCAGCAGACTTCAAGTATTTAATTACCATTACCCTTTTCAAAAAGGGAGAAAAAACAGACTGTGGAAACTAGTAAGGTCCCTTTAACCGCTGAAAAATCTTCTCCATAATTCTAGCAAACTGCCTTCTATCTATTTCAGAAGACATCCTTCCTAAATCCTAGAATAACTTCCATCTCTTCAAAGAAACAGTGGATATGATTTTCACTGCATGACAGCTCCAAGAAAAATACAGAGAACAAAATTGTCCTCTGTATATGGCATTCATCAAGCTTGCAAAGGCCTTGGACACAGCAATGCTCTTTGAAGCATCCTCCTAAAAATTGGATGCCCTACTATATTTGTGAACATCCTGTGACTCCTCTATGAGGACATGATGGCAACAGTCTTGGATAGCAATGGTTCCCAAAGTGACCCATTTAAGGTGGAATCAGGACTCCTGGAAACAGGAGTGTGTATTGGATCAAACTTATTTTCTATTTTCATAGCAATAATTGTGCACCTTGTTGACAGGAAGCTTCCCACTGGTGTGGAAATAACGTTTCAGACAGATTGCAAGTCCTTTAATCTCAGCAGGCTGAAAGAAGAGACAACTTATGTTACAGAACTCAAATATGCTGATGATAATGTAATCTGTGCTCATTCAGATAAAGACCTACAAGCTTCTTTGGACACCTTTGCAGAAGAATACAAAAAGCTTGGCCTCTCACCAAACATCTAGAAAAACAAAGTGCTCTACCAGTAGGCACCAACAAAACCCTCTGCAATGGCAGAAATATAGCGTAATGGTGCAATGCTAGAAAATGTTGACAATTTCCACTACCTTGGCAGCAAGTTCTCCACAAAAATCGACATCGACACTGAAATACAACACCTTCTGAGCTCTGCAAGTGCAGCATTTTTCCTAATGAAGCAGAAGGTATTTAAGGATTGGGACATTCATAGGGATACCAAAATACTTGCTTGTTTATAAAGTTATTGTCCTTCCAACTCTGTTTTATGCCTGCGAAATATGGACTGTCTACAAATGTCACTCTCAACGTTTGGAAAGATTCCATCAGCACTGCCTCTGAAAAATACTACTAGTCTCTTGGGAAGACAGACAGACAAACGTCAGCATTCTGGAACAAGTAAAGGCCACCAGCACTGAAGCAAAGATCCTCCATCATCAACTTTGCTGGACTGGCCACATTGTCCGAATGCCCAACCACAATCTCCCAAAGTAGTTACTTTACTCTCAGCTCAAGAATAGAAAATGGAATGCCAGTGGACAACAAAAGAAATTTTAAAATGGGCTTAAAGCTGACCTTAAACACTGGGAAGCCCAGGCCCTCGAGCACTCTAAGTGAAGGTCAGTTATTATAAACAGTATTGTGAATTTCGAAGTGGCATGAATAGAGAGTGAAAGGGAGAAACATGCAAAGGTGTGTCAAGCAAACCCTCATTCCATTTAGAAATGTATGTCTTCACAGTGAAAGACCATACAGATCAAAAATAGGTCTCTATAATCATTTGTGGACCCACTTCCAAGACTCTACACTTAAAAGACAATCATATTCGGCTATAAGTAATAGCCTATGAGATGACAAGAACTAGCAGGGCTACTGATTAAATCTTTCTTCCATGTTTGAAATGGGATGAAGTCCTCCACTAAACCTGAAGAATCAGAAGGGCCTCAGATTGCCTGCTATTCAGTTCTTTTCTTCAATATTTTCATGTCATATCCTAGCATCTGCTACCCAAGGTAACCTCCAATCTCCATCTAATGGCAGGGCCATCCTTCAGAGCAAGTGGATTCTGATTGTTTGTGGGACTGTAAGAATAATGAACCCAGAGAAATATCTTCTAATCAAAAAACAAATTCTGCCATTATTCTTGGAGATGCAGGATTAGTATGGTAACAGTATAAATCAGATATCTATAGAACATACCTAGTGGTGGTCTCCATCTCAATGGGTAGTGAATTTGTGTCCAGAGAAGGGTGACTGAAATGATGAAGGGTGTGGAGAACAAGCATCAGGAGGAGCAGTTTAAAGAACTGGGCATGTTTAGCCTGCAGAAGAGAAGGCTGAAAGGAGACATGATGGCCATGTATAAATATGTGAGGGAAAGTCATAGGGACAAGGGAACAAGTTTGTTTTCCACTGCCCTGGAGACTGAGATGTGGGACAATGGCTTCAAATTACAGGAAAGGAGATTCCACCTGAACATTAGAAAGAACTTCCTAACTGTGAGAACTGTTCAGCAGTGGAACTCAACAGTGTGGTAGAGGCTCCTTCTTTGGAGGGTTTTAAACAGTGGCTGGATGGCCATCTGTTGGGGGTGCTTTGAATTTGATTTTCTTGCTTCTTGGCTGGGGGTTGGACTGGATGGCCCATGAGGTCTCTTCCAACTTTATGAGTCTATAATTCGATGTTATGAGTTTTAGCCTCAACTTTAAATGTGTTCCACTTGTTGAGGCACGATGGGGTGATATGGTCCATTACTTTTCATAACTCTTTTAAGTAAAGTAAAGGCATTAAGTCCAGTTGTGTCAGACTCTAGGGTGTGATGCTTATCTCCATTTCTAAGCCGAAGAGCCGGCGTTGTCCGCACACACCTCCAAGGTCATGTGGCTAGCATGGAGCGCCGTTATCTCCCCACTGGAGCAGTACCTATTGGTCTAATCACATTTGCATGTTTTCAAGCTGCTAGGCTGGCAGAAGCTGGGGCTGACAACGGAAGCTCACACCACTCCCCGGATTTGAACCTGCGACCTTTTGGTCAACAAACTTAGCAGCTCAGTGGTTTAACCCACTGTGCCACCGGGGGCTCCCAACTCTTTTAAAGTTAAGACTAAAAACCAGAACAGACTCACTGTACTAGTGTCAGGGAAACTATTGTGAAACAGAAACAGATTTTTTTTACAAATAAGGGAGAAGATGATCATTGCCTCTTAAGTAAAAGTGAAACTGCACTGTTAGTATCTTAAATGCTCTCAAATGGTCCTTGGCAGGTACTCTTCTTAGCAGCCATAAAGATAATCCAAATAATTTCAGCGGTGTCAAAAATGTCAGCCCACATTATCCAGTTAAAAGTCTGATCTGTTTATATCCATATGTTTCTCACACTCTGCTAGAAATGTATCTCCTCTCCTGTGCTAATTTTGCTGGCAGTCCAGATATTTGACATCAGAAATGAACAGACTTTCCTAGGATAGAAAATTCAACAGGACATCACAAAAGCATCTTGACCTCTTGCAATGAATGTGGCACTAATACCTCCTATCAGTAAAGAACTGTGAACATATTGAAAACTCTGTGATGCTTCCTTGATGGCAGTACAAATGAATTAGTGCCAGAGAAAGGGAATTGTCATTGTGTGTTGAGCACCTTGTAATTTTGTTCTCAGGGGAACAGCTAAGATTACTGCCAGCAGTAGATTATCTTTGGGGTAGGGAGAAAGATGAAGTTGCAAAGGAAAGTCAGGCTGTAGGTGCAGTCAAGGCAGATAGGGATGGAGGAACAAAGCATTGAGAGCAGGCTTTGATCAGGGAAATAATCAACTCATTTGCAGATTATCCATGCAAGCTAGGCTCTGAAAAAGGAGCAGTATGATACGTATAAAGTGGTCACTCAATTGAATGTGCTGTCACAGTTTATTAAAGTGAGATACTAGGGAAGATGGGGACAAAAGAGGCATTATGTTAAAAGTGTTGTAATATGAGCTGCAAATAGAATAATATAAAAATATCCTGGACAGTTTGAAATCTTGCTGTCCAGTATTTCAGGAAAAGACTTTGTCAGTCATTTAGTTATCACAGAATTATTAAACTATACAGTTGGAAGAGATCCCAACCATCATTTAGCCCAGTTCCCTGTCAGTGCTAGACATTCACAGCTGCAACCTCCCTGAAAGATGGCCATCCAATCACTCAGCAAAAACTTCAAACAAAAGAGAGTTCAACATTTTATGAGGCAGTTTGTTCGGTTGGATTTTAAGCAATTGGTCACTATTAAATGGTCAATTTTTTTAAGGTTTCTGGGCTGCTCATCTGGGAGCCATAAACACTAGAGAGCCAAAAACTCATTCAGATGCCCCCCCCCAAAAAAAACCTCATTCTTTTGGGAATAACAGAAATGAATTTAGAGAAAATCAATATATCTTATTTAATTACTTCATAACACCAGCAAGAATAATTTATGTAAGACAATGGAAGACTAAAGAAATCCCAACAATAGGGATTACAGACATTATGAGTATGGACAATCTAACGCACCAGCTCAAGAATTACCAAGGGCATCCAGGAAAAAGTAACTGATTGGACTGCATTTAAAGTCTATTTGAAATAAGAAAAATGAAAATGATGATTTAAATATATTTATTCTTTTTGTTTTTCCTTTTTGAGAGAGGGAATGGAATATTTTATTAAAGACTGAAAATAAACATTGATTCACTACCTTGATGAAAGAGATTGGAAGTCAACAATTACCCTAACTTATATTTTTGCCTCCCCTATTTTTCTCATATAGATTTTTTATGTATATATATTTTTTCCTTTGACATTTCCACTCCCCCATGTCTTTGGATTTTTAAATCTCTCTTTTGCTTTACACACACACACACACACACACACACGTGTAAGTAATATCTGCCCCTATTTTTGTGTTGATAGTAAAGGTAAGGGCTGGCTCCTGACATTAAGTCGTGTCCGACTCGGGGTTTGGTGCTCATCTCCATTTCTAAGCCGAAGAGCCGGCATTGTCCATAAACACCTCAAAGTTCATGTAGCTGGCATGACTACATGGAGCGCCATTACCTTCCCACCGGAGTGGCACCTATTGATTTACTCACATTTGCATGTTTTTGAACTGCTAGGTTTGCAGAAGCTGGGGCTAACAGCAGGAGCTCACTCCGCTCCCCGGATTCGAACCAGCGACCTTTCGGTTGGCAAGTTCAGCAGTTTAACCCACTGTGCCACCGGGCACTCCATTTTTGTGTTGATACCTAATAAAATCATTATAAAAAAAGAAACATCAGCTCACCCACCCCACACACAACCCTGCCCATCCCCTCCCTACGAAAACATTGGGAAAGGGAATGAGGGAACATGTGCGATCCTTTTGAGCACAGAATCCTGCTGGAATTTTGCTAAGGCTTTTTGGTTTTGGAGAACTTTGTATTTAAGCATGCAAAATTAGGAAACTGTTTTTGTGTGTGTGTGAGGGGGGGGTGTATGATCATGCATGGGGGAAACTGATCCTTTCAGGAACATGAAGGTACTGGTTTGATGCTAAGGTCCTAATTTTCAAAATTTAAAAACAATTAAAAGAATTTAAAAAATACCCTGAGGAGGCAAAAGAGAAGAGTGTGATAGTATGGTTGGAAAGGAGTCAGCAAAAGAAAAAGAAATCGGTTTATTTCTCTTCCATTCAGCCCTCAGTCATTATTGCCTTTTCATTCTTGAATGCTGGTGATTGGGTGGAAGAATATTAAAACTAAACAGAAAGCAATAAGAACAATAAGCTGTGGGATAAATTGCTAAACCAAATTAAGTTTATAAGTTAATTTAGGACTTTGTTCCATGAACCTGCTATTCCATTACAGCCATGTTTTCATTGTTAACGAATGCATACTGGGTTGAATACCTTCAATATTCTACCACTCTACATTTGAGCAATTGTGTTGATTCGGCAATTCATGCTCCTCATACTCTTGTAGTCCTGGCTTCCCTCAGTACCACTGTCCTATAATTTTTTAAAATTGTAGACAAATTTCACAATTCCAGCTTTGAAAAATATATAAAATAAACAGAAAACACAGAGCTTTAAAATAGTAAGCTGGGTAAGGGAGAAGGGGAGGGGAGCTGAATTCCT